GGGCGCGGGCGCGGGCGCGGGCGCGGGCGCACCCCACCCGCTGCGAGCGTCGCCGCCGCCGCTCCTCCTGCCGCCTGCCGCGGCGGCGTTGCAGCAGCAGCAGCAGCAGCGGCAGCAGCGGGTGCTGTCGCCGGCGCCCGACGAGAGCGACGCGGCGATGGCGGGCCTGCGCGACGGCGGGGCGGGCAGCAGCTGGCGCGATGATGACGATGGGTGCAGCACGGACTCGGGTTACGTGGGCACCGGCGGGCGGCCATCTCCCGTGGTGTACGGCGCGCGCGCGTGGGGGGGCGCCAACCCCCTGGGCGGGCTCGACGCGACGCCTGAGCCGCTGGAAGGTGGGCAGGCGGGGCGCTGGCGGGCCTGGCTGGGCCGAGCAGAGCGCGTTGGGGGTGGTGCGGCTCTGCTGCGCTGTGATCGCGAGCAGCCTGTCCTGCCTGTCGCACGTCGCCCGCGACCTCAGTTTTGCACCCGATTACGTATTGGCATGCACGCATACACATAAACAAAACACACACACACACACACACACACACACACGCACACCGCAGCGGACCCGCGCCCGGCGCCCGGCGCGTCGCTGGTGTCCCAGGCGTTCATGGGCCTCATGCGCTCCGACGTGACGTGCTGCACCTGCTGCCACGTCAGCAGCACCTTCCAGAGCTTCACAGACCTCTCACTCGACCTCCACCTGCCGCGGCCCCCGCGCCGCGCACCGGGGCGCGGCGCGCCCGCCGGCGGCGCGGCAGGGCCGGACGCGGCGCTCTTTGCCGGCGGCCCTTGCGACGGCCGCGCCACGCCCAGCCCGACGCCGCCGCCATCAGACTACATGGTTGCGCCCTCCGGCCTGTCTGGGTTGGCCAGCGGCGTGGTGAGCGGCGTGGCGGCGGCGGGGCCCGGCGGCGAGGACGAGGAGGCGCCGCTGTCGTGCGCACCCACCACGGCGGCAAGCAGCGAGGGGAGCCAGGAGGGCGGCACGGCGCTGTCCCAGACGCTTCGGCGCGCGCCCTGCGGCCAGGCGGCGGCTGGCGATGGTGCCGGCGCCCGGCAGCCCGGTGCAGGGTCGCCCGAGCCGCGCAGTGGCAGCGGCGGCGGCGGGGTTGGCGGCGGCGGCGGGGTCGCCAATGGCCACGGCTCGGACTCTGACGGTGCACCCTCTGAGCTAGGGGGCGCGGCCCCAAGCCAAAGCAGTCAGCAGCAGCGCAGGTCAGCCGCGGGGCCGGGCCCGCCCGCGGCGGCAGACGCAGCGTCCCCAGAGCGGCGCGCTGGCAGGGCCAGCGGCGGCAGCGCCGCAGCGAGGCCCGCGCTCGGCGGCGCGGAGCCGGCCGCGGCAGACCCCACTGGCAGCGCCGGGGCGCGGGGGCGGCACCCCTTACCGCCGCACGTGCAGGCCGCGGCGCCGGCAGGCGGCGCGGGGGCGGCGGGAGGCCAGGCCGCTGCGCTGGGCGCCGTCGCGCGGCGGCCAGCGCACTCGGTCCAGCGGCCGAATGTGGCGGTGTGGGGCACGGCAGACGGCGTGCAGCAGGAAGGGCCGCAGGAGGGGCGGCCGGACCAGCGCGCAGCCGCGCTCGCTCCGGCAGCGCCCCCGGCACAAGCTGGCGAGGAGCAGCCACAGCAGCAACCACAGCAGCAGCGGCACGCGGCAGCAGGCCCGCGCGGCCACCAATCGGGGCAGGGAGACTCCCTGGCGGCGGCAGACGACGCGGGGGAGGTGTCATCGCCCGCGCGCCCGCCGCGCCCTGGCGCTGCGCCCGCCCAGGGCGCCGACTCCCCCGGCCTGGCGCCGCCGCAGGCCTCGCCGCCGCCGCTGCTACCTCAAGGGGCCCCGGGGCCGTTGCTGGGCGCCCCGCGGCCGCAGGCGCAGGGGCCTGGCAAGGGCAAGGGCAGGGGGCGCGGCGCGCAGCAGTCGCGTGTCACGCGCTGTGGCGAGTGCCACACGTGCCGCAACAAGCACCTGAAGAAGGCCTGCGAACGCAACAAGGTGCGCCCCGCCCGGCCCCCCCCCCTCACTGCATGCCCCTCTGCCGCTGCCG